TTTTTTTAAAAAAAAAAAAAAAAAAAAAAAAAAAAAAAAAACTATGTACATAAAAAGGCTGAGAAAAGCCGATCAAAATGCAAATGAAAAATGACATTAACATATACTTCTTAACTACTTCATAGGGACTCTTAATTCCTCTTTTTTCCTTTATTTACTCTTCCATTATTATTATCATTATTAATTCAATGGGATAATGAAAAGATGTTAATCACCTTCTATCTTTTGCCCGAATTTTCCTGTTGGGTTCGGAAGAAATCCACGTCTTACTGGTTCAGGTCACCGGAGTTCTATCGGGACGTCGACGCTACGTTGTGGATGAGATGACATTTCAGCTTTTTCTTCAACAGTTGCTTATATGATCCTGCATCGACACCTCTTCTTCTCACCTCCACCACCGCCAATCCGTCGATCAACCGGAAAATTTCTATCCGGATAGAAAAATTATGATTCTGTCCAAACAATTCAACTAAAAATTCTCTCTGTTTCTTAACCTTCAAATTCTCAGACCTAGCGAATTCCTCCACCTCTTCCAGGATCTTTTCCGGCGACTCTGCCAGTATGAATCGCTCACTGTCCTCCACTGCGTATTGCGAATCGTCGAACAAACCAGAGAGATCTAATCCCGACGAGAACGATATAATGTCGAATGCGTTTAAGTTCTTCGATGGAGATTCGACCTTAGCTTCCGATTTGACCTCGTAATCATCGTAGAAATTGATGTCTGTATCTTCTCCATTTGTGAACCACGGATCATTCAGAATCTCATTGATGGTGATCCTGGTTTGGGGATTCGTATCGAGAAGTCGTGACAGAAACCTCTGGAGATCAGGCGACATCCATTTAGGACACCGATAATCCCCCCTGTAAATCTTCTTATACAACACCATTAGATTCGAATCGTTGAACGGAAGGTAACCGGCGTTCAACACGAAGAGAGTCACACCACATGACCACACATCGATTTTCGCACCGTCGTAGCCCTTCTTCGATAGAATCTCCGGCGCGACATACGCCGGAGTTCCACAGAGAGTATGCAAAAGGCCATCGGCGCGGATCTGATCCGTAACCGCACTGAGACCGAAGTCGGAAACCTTCAGATTCGCATTCTCATCGACGAGGAGATTCTCCGGCTTCAAATCGCGGTGGTAGATCCCACGCGCGTGACAGAATCCAACGGCGGAGATCAACTGGCGGAAGAATTTCCGGCTGAGATTCTCGCTGAACCTGCCAATGGCGATCTTAGCGAAGAGCTCACCGCCTCTGACGAACTCCATGACGAAGTAGATCTTGGATTTGGTAGCGAGAATCTCAAGGAGTTTGACGATGTGAGGGTGGCGGAGATGGCGCATGATGGTGATCTCCCGCTTGATGTTGAGCATTAGGATTGAGCCGTTGATCTTCTTCTTGTTGATGACTTTGATGGCGACGCTTTGGCCGGAATGGAGGTCGCGGGCATGGTAGACCTTGGCAAAGGCGCCGCAGCCAAGGAGCTTGCCGAGCTCGTACCTGCCAAATAAGGCATCGTTATCGGGGGGAGAGGGTTCGACCTCCGGCATCTTGCGGCGGCAGATGGCCAGAGATCGAACGGGAATTAAAGAGATGATCGGTCAGAAGCCGAGAACAGAAATCACCCAAAACAGATTTCGAAAATGATTGTGGAAAGAGAGAGAGAGAACAGTTAATATAGAGAAAATTTGGAAGAAAGCGAGAATGGTGAAAATGGAATTTCTATATTATTAACTTTTTTTTTTTTTGGGGAATTTTATTGGCTGAGCTTTCTGGAATCGCACAGCAAATGGAGAATTAGTTATTTAATAATTTAAATTTTAAAAATAATTAAGAGAGAAAGGGGATCCAGCGACGTGGAGGCAGAAGCAACCTTGGGAATGGGAATTTACTGATTTAATTCATTATTAAATTTAATTATTTAATAAAGATTTGGATTAAGGGTACTTGTTATATTGTGATTGGCTAGGTAAATGACACGTTTGTTAAGTCTGCCACGTCGGCGCCGCGCTATGACGGCTGAAATTAATTGAAATTGAACTTGGAAATGAAACGACGGTCAAACATGTCGTTTTTGAGCTAAAGTTGGAAACTGTCGATTTCCTTTCGTACATCTGGCTTTGGTTTGATCATTTCAGATTTTGGGATTGGGATTGTCTTTCTGACAAATATAATGGAGTGGAAAACGGAGAAAAATGGTAAGAAAGGGAAGATTTTGAGAAAGAATTAGGCGGCTTTTGGTCAAGGATACGAAAATACAAATTTAAAAGCAAAAATTACAATTTAGACTATAAAACTAAATAATTATTGAAATTTTTAATTTCCTTTTAGTAAAAAAGGAAAAAAAAATTATTTGATAAATTTTGTTTCAATAAATATATAATACATTCTAAAATGTGGCTGTCCTAAAATACAAATTTAAAATATTTCAATTGATTAAATGGATTTAAGTATACAAATTTGCTTTTTTTTTTATATATAAGGTAGTTATTTCAGGTTTTCAATTACAAATTTTAAAATTTACAAGTTACATTAAAAATAATGAAGACTTTGAAAAATACATAATTTCATGTTAAAAACTCATTTTTAAAATTAGGATGTACATAACATAATATAATATTATAAACATAATAATTAAACAAAATTTATAAAGTTTATGAATTAATTAATACTAGTTGAGATTTTATATATTATTGAGTTAGCATCAAATATTGCATGGTTATTTAACAGCTAAAACATAGAACAAAGCCGACTTACGCAATAGCCAATATTAATTCTTTTTTCATACGGTGTGGGTTCATTGAATTTTTCTTCCAACTATTATTTATCCTTTTTTTTTAGTATTTAGTCGTTTTGTTGAAAAATAAAGTTGAATTTTAAAATTTAAATGAATAAAAAGAAAGAGAAAATTTTAGTAAATTTACTCTAATTTTTAATTTCATCAAATTGTAATTTTATTCTTAAATTTAAAAAAGAGATTTAAAATTTCATTAAAAAAAATATTATCATACACTTCATGGAATTGTAGTACATTCAGGACCAAAAATGACGGGGTTTAAAAAGAATGTCATTAAAGACATGTTTTTATTCAAAATTATAAGAGTTTTCAAAGTTATGCAATGGTTAATTTAGATATTAATTCAAGTAAATTTTATGTAAAAGTTATATTAAAATTTCAAAATTTAAGATTAAATTTGATTTCTTAAAAGAAAAAACCAAGAAAATTGAAGAAATCAAGGGCAGGAGGGAAATTTCACCTTTGGTTCGGAATCATCCTATGGAGAAAGCAGAGGCAGGCATATGAACGCATATCCACGCGTCTGAAGATACCTAAAATATAAAACAAAGAAAAAACCGTACGAATTCAAATCGGAAACAATTTTAAATAAGAATAATAATAATGCCCCAAAATACTTTCGGAACCACCTACCTTATTATATTGAGCCTAAAATAAGTTCACGCTTAATAATTAATATTATTTGAATGCCAATGCCATTTCCATAAATCTTCGTGAAGGTTTCAATACCTCATGATTACACATGTATCAATGTAAACTTGCACACTAAATTAAAAAATTAAAAGTTCAAATTTATATTTATATTAGATAAAAATTAAAAGTTTGAAAACATTTTAAAATTTTAAATACCAAGAATAATGTATGGTATACCGTGCAAGGCGCGAGTGTCCCACATCGGAGAGACGCACCATGGTGATCGATCAGAAAACCCAAACCATAGTGCTCCATACTATTTTAACCTGTCTGCCATATGTCCGACCTTGATCGTGAGTAAATTCGTTATGCTTAGATTTATTTCGACAATCCATGTAGCTCAATGGAAAGAGCATCACTGAATTTTATAAAGGAATTACGAACTATCCACATCTCTTCTTCAATTCAACGCATAATTTAATGAGTTATAGAACAAAATAGTTGAAGGGATGGAAAGAGACTTATCTGTTTTGTGATCATGGTTCCATGGATGCGTGTATCAGAGATCCCCTTTACAAACCTGGCCCTCCACTCCTACTTGATATTCTTCCATCATTTTTAAGCAACCGATGATTCATACTTCTCGGAAGCCGTTTTACAATCATTTGCTTTCACCGTTCTTCAACATTGCACGACTGTAGCTGGAATTACCGCAATAAGAACTCAAAAACAGAATTTAAACCAAACCCAGATGATACCAGAATAGGAAACAAAGTAAAACACAGGAAGATTTGAGCAAATAATTAAATAAGTAAAGCTAGCATGGCTGTTAAAAAAAAAAAAAAAAAAAAAAAAAAAATTGGTAAGGAAGTTAAAATTCATTTAGGAAATATGCCACTTTTTTGCATTATTAGAGAAATAGATGTATTTAGTTTCTTTTAAGATATCAACAGATACGAAAGAAAGGGCAGCGACACAGCATGTAAACAAGCACACATAAATATCTTTCAGTAGAAATGAAAATGAAAATTTACACTTAACGGAACAAATGACCTAAATTTGAAAACACGATTTCCTCTTCTATGAGCCAGACCAAACATTTACTTGGTAGCAATTTTCACGAAGAAAGCAACCTTATGCCTCTCTCAGCCTTTTGGCTAAGACCAGCTGTAGTGAGCAACAAAGAAATCAACCCATGACACAAAAAGGTTCAAAATTAGTTGCTGGAATTTCCTAAACAAAATCTTATCGCCCTTGAACATGGGATCAACTAGGTGAGTCTACCGAGTGAAGTTGGAAGACCTGCTCTGTTTTCAACAGAGACGGTAGAAATATCCTGATTAGAGACTAGCTTAGATTTTTATCCTCGAGCTAACTAGCACAATTCCGTAAATCGAATTGATAATTCATCTCCTATTACATGGAAATATAACAAAGATAAAAATCAAATCAAGTTAGTAGCAGAGAGAACTGTGAACTCTAATATATCAATACAACTATAGCAAGCAAATAGAAAATGCAGTCTAATATTATGATGGTGTTCAAGCACAAAAGGCATGGAAGAGGTCCAGAAAATAGAGCGCTATAATTCATGACGTCTTTGTAGATTAACCTCTTTTTCTATTCCTGTTATGAAGTTGTACCTTCAAAAGTTGGCCAGATGCCTTGCACGGGATCTCAAATGTAGGCTACTACTTACAGTTTGGATCAAGTTTTAAGACCAAATGGTCCAAATCTATGGCGGTTATGTCATCATGCTTGCTAATAACGTAGATCAATGATTAAATGGTGAAAAAATCACATTCCTATCACAAAATTCTAAACCAATTCCATCATAACGTCATTCATCAGAAAAACAAACTCCATTAAACAGCGGCCCCTTCAACATCGAAATCTCTAGGTCGAAATGACAAAAGCATCACAGTTGATTTCAAGCTCGTTCAATACATAGCAACACCTTTGCGTGAAGCCTCCGACCATCCATTACTCAACTCACTCGTTCTATATTTATCCAAAAAAAAAAAAAAAAAAAA